CGGACCAGGGTTGCAGCACAGGAGGGAGACCCAGGAGCAGCACTTCAGAGGCGGCATCTGGGCGCCCCGAGGTCCCTAGTCGGCCTCTGGGCGCCGAGCACGTTTTATTTATCCCTACAAAGGATGCTGGAGGACAAAAGAAATATTTGGACGTCAGAACTGATTTATATTTTTGGAAGAGCTACGTTTCCTTTTCTGAAGAGAGGCAAGCGCGCCCCATATCCTGCGCTCGGCGGGAGGACTGGAGCGAGTTTTGATGCGCCAGGAAGTTCATTTGCGCGGAGGCTCAGGGCCCGGCGCCCCACCGTGATTGCTGCCCTCCCAGATATTTATTTATTTGGGGGGAAGGGAAGGCAGAGGGTGAGAAGACCCAGCCAGACTAGAGAAGAAAACCCGGCCACTGGGTTGGGACCTCCAGGGCGCTTCCGCGAAAGCCCGCCCGTCCACAGCTAGCTGGCCTCCCTGCAACGTCGGGGCTTCTGGGGCCAGCCTTGCAGCCTCCGGGTGGGTGCCTCTGTAGCAATCCCGCACAACGCCCAGTGTTCTCCCGGGGTGACCACTCCAGGATCTGCAGTGCCTCCCGCCTGAGCCCGGGTGGTGGGCCTACCCACCTCCCTCCCAGAGGTTGGACGGAAGGGGTGGTGGTGAGAAAATTCCCAGAGAGTCAAAAGAAGGGTGTACAAGAATTCCCAAGAGAAAAGACAAAAGACACTCAAGGGCAGGGTGGTCACCCTGGAGCAGTATTCAGAGAAGTGCAGTGGTCCAGGGCTCCTGAGAGGGCTTGTGCTGTACACTAGCGCCCAAGAGGCCGCCAGGCTCCCCACCCCCACCCCCCTCCGGTTTCCAGATCATCCATCTCAAAAGGTAGATCCTGAACCCTGACGTCCATAGGTTTTTCTGCCAGCTGCACAAAGGACGCAGAATCAATGTGCCTACTGGCGCCGCACCCACTCTCGCTTCCAGGGTGTGAAGAGCAGGCTCCCCGGCTTCTAGTCCATCTCCCCATTGGAGACAAGCCCGGCCTGTGCCCCTAGCACTGCTACCCCAAACACAGCAAGCTGTGGAAACCTAAATGACATTTGTTCCTGACACATCCCACCTTGGGGGCGGGGTGGGGGTGGCACTGTGTGCTAGAGGACTGGCTCCTGGGGACATTCCCACATTTCTGAATGCCTAACTCGCGGAACTCACAGTCTGGCCATCTAAAAAGGGATAGAAAGAGGCCTCGTTTTCTGCATGGGAGTCTGGTAGATCAGCTCTTTTCTTCCCTGAAGCACCTAAGACCTGGTCAACTGGGTCATGGAATCATGCCTACAGCCAGGCCCAGGAGCTGTGGAGCTGTGGGCTGATCTCCCAAGAAAGGTGGCTGTAAAAGAATCCTGCCCTGAACACACGAACTTGGAGAGCTAAAGCGTGGATCCAAATAAAATGTGGCTCCGGACGTGTAAAGTGGTTAGCGTCACCTTTCTGCTCAAGTCCCTCTCTCCAATCCCTGCTTTAGCAGCAACCACCGAACACCAAATAGATAACTCTGTTCCTGGCCGATTTTTTAGAGGCCTCCGGGGCAGCGGCAGCCTGCAAAATCATGGCCTCTGCTCCACCACACAAACAAACCTGGATCCCAGTGCCCCGAGCAATTAGAACACTATCTTGGGAGCTCAGAAACCTTCTGCCCACAATGACTTAGTACCTAAACACACGGCGAAAACAGTGGGGCGTCTTCCAACTGACTGGCAAGAGGTTTTCCTCACTCAGCCTCAGACTGAAGGAAAGGAGGGATATAGAACAAGCCAGCTCCCCCACAACAGGTCCTAAATGCCCCTGACCACTGCTAGTGTGGATGGGTCTCTCCCATCTCTACTAGTTTAGTCTAGACCAATTCATGTAAAACCCACGAAACAAAGGAAGCATGCTAAGAAAAGATGTAAACCACAATAATGAAGATTTCCTAGAATAAAATGTAGATTACAGAACAAAATCAGAGAAACCCAGTTTTCACTGAGTTTACATTCCCTTGCTCTGGGGCAGGGGTGGGGACTCTATGGGCTTGGAACGGGAAGGGAACCCGCAGCCCAGATGGAGACAGTTGACCAATCCCAAAACCATGGACTCAGGACTGCTCTACCCCTGTGTATTTTTTGGTTAACGATGAAGCACCTGGGGCTGATCTAGAATCATTTAATGAATCATACCTGTACTTCCACATTTAAAAAAAAAATCAAGATTTTTGTTGTTTACAGGGAATGAAAATCTGTGAAGGGCTAACACTAGAGACCTCCTAGGGAGTGGTACCAACCTAAACAAGACAAGTATATCAGCAATGAGACTTCCATTTTCATCCTGCATGGCTGAGGGCTGGGGCATCTCCCTAGTTTACTTCAATCTCCAATCCATTTTAAAAATAAGCAAATAAGCAAGCCCTTTCTGTCCACCAGAAACGAATACTATTACAGGGAGAAAGAAATTGACCTATTTGTTATCCGATGGATGTGTTCTTGCCCAATAGATTTGGATATGCCCATGGTTGAAACACCGAGGTTTCCCCACAATAAAGCGAAAAGAGAACTAAATTTGGAGCCCTGGCACCACTCCATTCCTAAACCAGAAGCATCACTTGCCCCTAGGCAGTCCCTGTCAAAGAACAGGTTAGAAGTGGGATCTCCTGGAACATGTTTTGGAGAAGACTTCTTCCTGCCCAACAGCTTACCCACTGAGCTCCCCACCTTTCTGGACTTGGGAAGGGGCAGTGTATAGGCCACTAGAAAGAAGTAGGCTTCAAGATTGCAGAAACGCACCACCACCGCCACCAAGCAAGAGCCACTGGCCACTGGTCACTGCCTGGGACCTACTGCAGATTACAAAAGAGATTTCTCACCGAGTTAGAGAATCTTGGCAATGCGTGATTGATATCTAGATGATACATGGAATTCTTTTAAAGTCTCTTGTAACTTAACCAGTTAAATCAGTAGAAGCTAAAACTACATCGTTTTTTTTTCCTAAAATAGGAGTTACAAATATTTGCAACACTCCTAAAGTCTCAGGAACCCATTTTAAAAGGATCCCCTGGCTCCCAAATTGGGAGCTAACGGTATGGAAAGTTATTAAACCTTGCCGTGACTTTAATAGGTTTAGTGCCTTCAGTCTCTTCAGACCCCAAACCTTTCTAGGCCAGTTTTAAAACAAGTGCCAAGAGGACCAAGGGGAATCGAGATACATAGACTCCCCAGGTGCAGAAAACAGAACAGCTGCATAGCTGAGTGAGCACAATACTAACTTCATACAAGTTTCCCCAACCTGTTGTCTGTCTACAAAGTATCACCACCCCCTCTTCTCTGTGAACCAATGCTTTTCCAACCTCCATACACACTCACACCAAACACATTTACGGACACTGAAGTCTGTCCATGGAGCTCCTTTAGGCCAATAACATCCTTTACACCCAATTTCTACTTCATTAAATAAATTGTTTTCAGACACTTAGAACTTTGGTTTAATGAGCACGTATTTACTTCCATATTAAATTTCATCAAAAATTAGTCCCGGCAAAATGACAAAAGAGGATGAGGGGGAAACCCGCATGAAAGAAATGGGAACTTGTTCCCCAAATGTTCAATCGTCAGTCAAAAAGAAATTCTTAGAAAGTCGAAACAACTTCAACCCCCAACCCAATCAAAACATCCCTTCCGGAAAAGAGCGACTTGTTTCTTTTTTTTCTCTCTCTCTCTGTGTCCCTCTCTCTCTTGCAAATGAGCGGTCCACTCAGTTCTGCTTGGCGGTGTTTTCTTAGCTGACTCCGGGCTACAATCGGGCCATTTTCGGACACATTCCCATGTAGGTACCAGGGGTGCTCTGGAGGAAGCTGTCGACGCCTGTTCAGCTAATTTAGGTTTTCTTTGTCTAATTACTGTGGAGCTTAGGGAAAAGGAGCCGGGCTCAGGGCAGTAAACTGACACTCAGGCTCTGTGTGTGGTATCCAGGCAGGGTTTGATGGAAAAAGCCTGCTTCCACTCAACTTCAGGTCACTGTCTGGGGCCAGCCCCCTCCCCCCGCACCCGCCCTTTCCTCTGTTCCTCAGACCTACCAGCACTCTGCATCAGGGGCAGTCCCCATGCACTAGGGCACTGAGGGCTGCTACAGCCCCACCCCACCCCACCGGGACCAGACCCCACTCTGCTCCACAAGACTCTTTGTTGCATCTTAACTGGGGTCCCTACACCCTCTTCCCTGTTCTCCCAACTTTCCAGCACATGGCAAACCCAGTCTTTCAGGGCTGCTACAGAAGTCTGCACGCACTGTTGCGCCTCCCATTGGCTCCCCAGGTGGGGCATCTCTTTCCCTTTGGGCCTAGCCACCAGCCCTTGTGTGGCCAGGCCTGCTTCAGCCTCCAGCTCTCTTTGCAGCCCCTGTCCGGGGTCAGGCTACATTTCCCCCGCACGTGTAATCCAATAACTAACTGTCGGGTCTCATTGGAATGATTTCTCCCGAGGGCCATCTCTCTCTGAGCCTACTCTTACCGAGATGAATAAGCCACAACTGGGGGGTGTGTGCTCGGATGAAGTGAGCTTGGCCATGGCACTGGGGGTGGGGGGGCACACCGGAAGACTGATGCTGTAAACCCACTGGCAGCTGTGTGGACCTTCAGTGTTGACGATAAATACAGCTATCTCCTCACCTCAGGGTCTCTCTCTCTCTCTCTCTCTCTCTCTCTCTCTCTCTCTTCCTCTCGCCCTCCCTCCCGCCTTCTCTCTCCCCTTCCCCCTGAAGTGGAAATGACAAGTCAGTGTGGAAGCAAATGAAAACGAATCCCTTCGACTCAAGTGTCCCAAGTCTCTAAAAGTTGGCCCAGGTTTCCGCACCCAAATTCCAGTGCTCAGCTTAAAATGTGTTCACAACTGCCCGGGGCCACAGCTCAAGGGAGCCCAGTGCTTGCCCTTTACTATGAACTCTCAGAAGCCTGCATGTCCAGCCAGAGAGAGAGAGACCCAGGATTGGCACGTTACCTTGGGACGTCTGGCACCCTGGCGTGTGGCTGAGGGCGGCACTGTATA